TTCTTTCCCCTGGCTCAAATGAAGCAGTAAGACAAACTGGACAGCCTGCGGCAGTTGGTAATTCAGGATATAGAACACTATTAATAAAACCTGGGAATAGATTAAGTGTACTTAAACCAAAGAAACAGAACAGAATGAGATTGCAGCTAAGAATATCTGTGTTTTGGCTCTTATGGATTAACTAAACTACAGCAGACGTAAGATTCTTAGGAGAAACAGCTTCTGCTTGAATTAGGCTTTCTGTAACTTCAGCAATATAATTAGGTCAGTTTTAATTGTGATTAATTTAGTACTGGAACAAATTCCTAACAAAGCTGATACAGTTACGCTGAACTTAAATGGTTCCTAAACCAGTTCAATAGCTACTGGGGAACTGGCACTAGAATCTTAGAAAAAGACAAGATAGAATAAGTGTATTTTTTGCCTTCTTTTTGCTGAAAGAATATTGCAGCACATACAGAAGTGACAGTAAGGACACTTAAACTTAAGACACATTTATGCAAGCCAATGGGGATGCTAGCTTCAAAGTTCAGGCAGACCATTGTTTCAATTGATCTTCTCTTACAAATATTCTGTTGTTCTTACACTAGAGACGTGTTCCTTTTTAGGGGAGAGGGGTGCTGGAGAGGAAAAAGACAGGAACAGAGGGATCTACCTCTGGCTTAGTCGGGAGTGCTAATGCAGGAAGACCTCACGCTTTTTAAAGTCTATCCCATAAAGCTCAGAAGTCAAGAATACAGCACTGCAAATTAAGAACAACTATTTTTTCCTGAGTGTGGATTCAACAGGTCTTTATACTATGAAGGAGTAGGAAGAAGAAACATTTAAGCTAGCAAGCAATTAAAATCCTGCAAGTCTCAAGAATGAAAGTAACTAGAGACAAGATTACAGTAGTTATGAATTGGAGAGCTGAGTAAAGGTTATTTAGAAGTAAAATTGTCAAGTGTTTAACTGGGCTAACAGCAAACATTCCTCTCATTAAGAGAACGCCTTTCCTATTGAAACAAGTAATCTGAAACTTTATTGTACATATAGTCTAATTCCATTTTCATATGCTGTTGTGAATCCAAAGTGACTCTGATTAAGTCAGTGTTATGTCAGTATAAAGTAAAAACAGAATTTCTCAAAGATCAGAGCACCTACAGCTTTGGTTGGTATATGCAGAGAGAGAACTTCTACATCCAGTTTCCAGTTGGCTTGCTATCACTAACACAGATGCAAAAGATAAAACAACAAAAACCCAGCCCCCAAAACAAGCCCACACAAGCTGCAGGGGTGGTAAGCTACACATCATTTTGGACAGATAGAGCCTTACCTAAACCGAGACAACTTTCAGCACAAAAAAAAAGATACAAATTCATTATTTGTATGAAACATGTATTGCAAAATTAAATTGGGATTCAACAATTTTCAACAACATCCACAGCTATATAGTATTTAAAAAAGAAAAACAAAACAAGAAGTGTGGTTCTTCCATTCAAGTAAAACTAAAACAAGAGAAAGAAGTAAAAAAAAAAAAGTCTTAGAAGCAGCAAGTTACAATTCTTTCTGTAATACCACACCATTTTCATTAACATGAAGCATTTTCAAGATGTCAAAGACATCATCAAAACAGTAATTTCTAGTGGCTTTTTTTGATAATTGCTTTTTGAATGGGTCCAGCCCTGGTCTGCAACCTGTACAGACATGCAAAACAGGAGGAATTCACAAGTATTATTAAGAACAGACATTGGAACATGCCGGTTGTAAAACGACAAAGCAAAGAAAATACCTTCAAACTGTCAACAAGCATGGGCTACTGACCCCTAAAGGGCGTTTAATATTTTACATAAGAAGGAAAGTTGGAAAAAAACAGAAAACAACCCTCCAAACCACCACCAGCAGGGTCAGCACATACAAAGTTCTCTACAAGCTTGGTAATTTGCCCTTAACATGCAGGCTTATATCTTCTCCACAAGATATCAAACCACTAACGATTTTGGGTTTATTTAAATCCTTTAAAAAAAAAAATAAGTTGAAAGTCATACAGAAAGTCTTTTACCTATGGAAAAAAACTAATGCACCCCTTCAGAACAGAAAAGTGAGCCTATGTAAGTCAGTATAGGTGCTTTTTCTGCTATCTTTAGGAAAGCAAGAAGGTATTTTTAAGAAAAGACTAAGCAGCAGCAACCTGTTCTGTCATTACATCAAACAGTTTCACAGTTGAAAAAGTTACTCTTTTAAAATTTGTATTTCACTAAGTCACTATTTCCTAATGCTTTATAATAAGACCTGGCCCAATCCTGGGCTCCTTGCTCTGGCAGTCCTGAAATGAAGTTTTGCAGAAGCAAGGTGTTCAGATTCAATTTGAGCTCAAAAGAAGCTACTTAGTGTTCTGTGCAGCTGACACTCAGAACAAAGGGAACATTTTTGAATCTTCATGAAGTGGCAATAGTTAAACAATAAATACCCAAATTCCAAGCAATCTCTGTAAAATTGGCATAACAGGATAAGGGAATTAGGGGTGAATACTTTGAAGATTAAAATGGGATTTTTTTTTCCCCTGACACACTGGCAGAATGTTTTTCAAATGCCCATCCTGGTTATGGTAAGACCAACTGCTTAAAGCCCATGAGCTCCTCCTGCTTTTACCTTTTAATTATTATTTATTTAGAGGCTATAATTATCCCAAATCATACTATGTCCGTATCACTACGACGTTTCTTTTTCTGTTTCATGTTCATAACTTCTACAGCTTGTGCACAGCATTTAGTCGCAGTAGCTTTTGAAAACAGAGCCCGATTCCTCATACCTTTTGGTTTGTGCAGAAAGGGTGCAGAGCACTGAACTGAAAGACATTTACACTCATATTTATAGAAGTAAATGGCCAGGAAAGGGGCAAAGTACAAGAGAAGCTGGGCTCATAACTCAATAAATTTAAGTTGATCTTTTCATCTAGGCTGGAAAAGGCTGACTATCCCTCAGATAAACCAGGTAAAGCATTGTTTCAATACCAGACAAATGAGGATAATATAGCACCTAATGTGGCATTTGCGCAAGTTTTACTCAGTTAAATTAGGAGTTACAGCCAACAGGGTTTCAGATTTTGTGAGCTAAATTTAAATTGAAATTAAGCCATGTTTTAAAAGAGCTAAACCATTAGAGTGTGTTGACTGCAAAGTCATAAGGGCAATTTTGCTTTAGAAAGTATGACCAAGGTTAGCAGGAGTTAAAATATTTGTATGAACAAAAAGGAATATATAACAGTCGATAAAGAGAGTAATGGGAAGTCTATTGGACTACTCCAAAATATTTAGAACTAAGGAAATAAAACTTCACATTCCCCACGCTATTCTTGGGACTTCTGTAGTTTTCACAAAAACAGGTTTCCCCCCACAGCATCAAGTATCCAAGTGTGCAGTAATCAACTGCAGGATCTTGACCATGAAAGTGTCTTGAAAGACCAAAGTCTCGGCTTTACAATCCCCAAAATCTTTCTTAATGTAACTGATTGCACGTTTTTAATATATTACAATTTGCTAATGAAGCCAACCACTCATTACCTCATCAGTACAGCCTGCACAAAGTACAGTTTATTTATATACTTATATTCTAATCTAACACCAGCTGTCAGCATATTTTATATTACATGTGGTATTGCACTTTGAGTGGCACCTCAGTGCGTGTTTGCGAGTGAACGAGCTGAACCCCTAAAAGCCCCAGACCTTTGGAATTCACGCCAAGTGCTGCCTCTAGCAAGTGTAAAATGTTAAAATGTTAGGGTGAACATCACCCTGAGAATCATGGGCTTAACTAATTTAAAAACCTATTTAATTAGAAAAACAGTCCTACCTGAAGTTGTGTATAAGGGCAATCTGAAATCCTCGGTACTGTGAACAGTTTCAAAAAGTGGTGCCAATTTAATTGATTGCACACATTGTAATTGTGTTAGAGAACAACAACTAGATTTACAAATATATATTACACCCACACAGAAAACAGACAAAGCTATAAAATGTTTGGTAACTCCACATGCTTTGAGCTAGCCAATGTATCTGCTGTATGTTGAACTGCTTATTACTGATCATACTGAAAATCTAAATTGCTACTTCTGATGTATCTGTTACTGGGTTAAACAACCACTTCCAAAGGAGGAAGAAAGAGGAGAAATGGTGGACCCAAAGACTGAGGGTTTAAATATATGTTCCTTGAATAGCCAGCATACCACTTCAGTAACGTGAAGAGTGATGCTTAAAAATTTTTGAAGAGACTTAGGCCAAGTTCACCTCCGACATTAGTGGGTGTATCTCCCACTACTTCAATGGTACTTGTGTCCTCTTTCACCAGGGTTGAATTTGGTCCTAGGAGCATATCTGGTCACCTTCAGTGACATTAATGGAAACGGGAAGTCTTGGACAGATAGAACTGGGCTGCAAAATTAAGAGTGACTATTGGACAAATCATGTAAATAAAGAATATATATTAATAATAGTTCCTATTATATAAATAGCCTTTATAAAAAAATAATCTTTCAATAATTTTAATAACTCACCTTTCTTTAGGTTCTGGAAAACATGTATGAAAAAAATCTATTCAGTTCAAGTTAGATTAAAGCAAACCTAAGATGAACACTACAACTCTCTGCTGCACTAAACCCAATTCTGACCATTCAATTTCCAGGTTAGTCAGCTTTTGGGGATGATAGGGAGTTTCTTGGTAAAGGTATGAATTGCACCCCTAGAAATACTGAGCAGAAGAAACACCATACTGAATGGGCCTATTTCCTGCTTTCAGAAACTGTGCAGATGACGGACCCAGAAATCAAAGGGCCATCTAAACCCCATAAATGTTAATGCCTCTGAGCACATGTAAAAGGCACTGTCCTCTCATTATTGTTTTTAGATCTTTGAGCTTAAAACTCCTTCCCTTCAAACTATGCTGCACTTATGTATTTGCTGTCACTTGAATTCTCTTTCTACTCTTTGCAATCCAGCATAGTCTCTACCTGCTGTACCAGATCTAAGGTAATATGTGATGGACTCTGTGTTCATTCTAGCACTATTTTCTTTTTCTTTCTAATTTATCCTATCAAATGAAAAAAGGAAACATTCTTCCAAGTTTACCTTTTTGGGCTTAAGGCATAACATGAAGTCACACATCATACTAAAGCTTAATTTTTGAAGTGTATAATTTTAGTGCTATCTGAAACCCTGTTTTACACTCTTTTTCAACAGCTGTCTGAACAGTTCATCTCTTTCCTTGCCAGAAATTCTAATGTTGTTCATGGTTTGTGCAATTCCTATGCAACCAGTCTTTGCTGCTAACGGGTATTAACAGTGCAGTACCCACAAAGCAGGCTATCAGTTCTTGTTTTCTTCACTTTCATTTCAGTTCAAAGCATGTTGCTTTATTGTGTGGAAGATCCAGTCCATTTTTGTTGTCCAGCCACCATGGTGAGCATCATTCATTTGCTTCATGAAGTACTCAAGGGCTTCCTGCTCAGTTTTGTCCAATGCAAGGGTCTTTCGAATGTATGCAATATCGTCAAATGACTGCAGTTCTGGCATTCCTGAGCCAAGCATCATGGAGAAAAGATTTATGAAGAGATTGGCATGCTGCCGAATTGCTAGATAAGCCTTATAACACATCTCCTGAAACCTGGAAGAGACAGGGGGAAAAAAAAAAACCCTCAGTGTATTTCCCTATTAGATACATATGACTTCATGGTTTTCAGGTAACTGGACAGTCTTACTCTAATAAGAAAATCATAATGTTGCTGAGAAAATATCCTCATCTTCCTACTTAAGTTATCTTCATTTCTTAAGAATTAGTAGTGGACAGAAAAACACAATAGCCAAACTGAAGATGGGATTTCTAGCCTTAAAAGCTCATTTGCAATTCATGCAAGAGTTCTACACAAGTTTATGAGAGTCCACAGAGCCATTTTAGTCATTGCCACTGACATTTCAGATTTAAAAGCACATTTCCTGATACACTGCTGCAAGCAGTGCTTTCCTGGTTATCAGATATGCACTTCTCTCCTGTAGTTTTATGAGGGCAATGGCTGTTGCTCCGTAGATATTCTGGAGAATGCACTGAATACAGGGGCATCTACTGTATCACAGCATTGGGTGAGAAAGGCCCCTTTATGCTGAAATTGCTAATATAAGTCAGGCTAAGAAAAAAGTGCAAAAATCTTGACTGCAGCATTCAGACGGACACTGTAACTTAAAATCTGTCTTTCCCTGCCCCTCCCACAACATAATGAAATTAAGATTAAAACTGAAAATTCTCAACGACTGGATCGCTGAAAAGACAGGTATTAGGAATGACTACAGGAAGAAAATTTATTTATTAATTATTACTATTATTTTAAAGTTCTCCTTTCTTAGCAAGTTCCACAGAATATCAAACTATTCAGGCCAGCTGAAGAGCTGATACCACAGCAGCTATAGGAGAGACAAGTACCACTGAGTGACCAGCAAGGCTCTGATGCATGTTACACCTGACACTTAAGAGCCCTCAGTTTTTCCAGTTATGCAATCCCCAAAGGATTTTAAGTGTTAAAGAAAAAAAAAACCCAGATATTAGAAAAATTATCTTTATACAGGTGTGCTTGACCTTGCAAAGCCCTGTGAGCACTAAGATCCCCTACTGATTTTCAAGTGGATGGCTGATCTTCAAATAATTAGAACATACCTACTGCAAGGCAATTAAAATACTACTTTTCAGTTGAAAGATCTAATTACTAAAGGTCATCAGTAGTAAAGGTCATTTGAGGTACAAAATACTCTGGAAGTTAAACGCTTAAAAAAAGGCTCACCTTTCAAACTCCCTTGTTTTGGTACATTCCTGGGCTCCTTTACTAATCACTATTAAAAAGTCTTGTGTTAAGACAAATGGCACACGCTCTCTTTTATAACCAAATTTTTTCTTTTTGTGATCGAGGAAGTGCCCGAAGTCAATGTGAAACAGCTTGGAAAGACAGAAAAGTATTTTAAGATTAGTAATTCCTTGCTTAAATTATGTCATAGTAAAATTGATCATTTATTTATATTTCAGATGGTTTTGTTCTGTTTTTTGCTTGTTTGTTTTTTGTTTTTAAAACCCTCATTTAAAAGGGAGAGATTACATTAGGCTATGGTTTAAGAAAAACATATCTTACTTGTCCATCATCTTTTACCATGATGTTACTATTGTGGCGATCACCAATGCCCAGTATAAAGGTAGCAACACAGTAGCCGGCACAAGAACGTGTAAACAAGTCAATAGCTGCATCATACCTATTGAAAACAAATAAAGGAGACATCTTACAGATATTCTAATAATACAAAAAAAGCAACTTTTCTTTTCCCTTCCCCATAAAAGAACCACCAACTTCTATCTTCTCTCAATGAAGCAGAGTTCCTGGACTTTATCACTTTATCAAAGCAAGGAAGAAATTCAGCATACTCTGAAAACATAAGTACTTACAGTAGGTCACAGAATAGTAAACTAGCTACTGAAGTGACTGTCCCTCTTTTGAAGGCCAACAGTTTTCATTTTGATGAGCTACTGTTAAAATACAGACTTAAGCCATATCTCCATGGTTCAACATCCAACTTACGCGTTACTGCTGAGAAGTCACACAACCATCTAAACTCATGAAAAGAGCTACAAGCAGGAATAATAGGCAAAGGCAGGGAAAAAAAAACCCAAAACCAGATGGGCATAATTTCCCATTTGATGAACTTTAGATCTGTTGAAGTTTTCATCAAAAAGAGCACATGAACAAGAAAAACAAGCAACAGGAAATCTCACATTTCTCCTTTGTTCTTGTCCTTGAGCCACTGATGCAATGTATGGCTGTTGAACTGCAATGCTCCTTTTAAGCCTCCTTTACACTGAATCTGCATGATCGTATGAGAGCTCCTCACTACTTCGATGAGTCCCACACAGTCACCAATAGACAAACAACCGTAAGGCAACATCCTGGAAAAGGGAGGGGGTTTTTGTTTTGTTTTTCAAGGTTAATTTTTGAAGACAGACAACAACAGGCATGTTTGATAAATATTATCTGTTACCTTAAGACATGAGGATCTGTTTTCATGTCTTATAGGAGTATTATCCTTAGTCTTGTGGAGAAAATGTACCAGGTATTAGTACAGTAACACACCAGCCACTCTATTCACCAATGTTCTTCAGTTTTATATCAAGACAAAAGGTTAAGGCTAAAGTTTATTAACGTGTTCTTGGAGGCCTTGGGGAACCGACTGGAAAAGTGCCCTAAGAAGGCATTCAGCATGATTTAACAAGATCTTTTCAACTATATTCGAAGTGAAGTACTAGAGAAAGAGTCTAAGCACTCAGAAAACAAATGTTAGGATTTTGTGGGTTACTGTAAACAGGTAGCAGGCAATACTTCTATGTGAAACCAGCATGGGACCTTCAAAATGAGTTTCTGAATAGCACTTGACCATACTACAAAACTGTAACTGGAACCTAAAATTAGTGTCCTGGTTTGAGCTAAATAGAA